TATATATATATATATATATATATATATATATATATATATATACACACACACACACCCACGCGCGCGCACACACACACACACACACACACAGAATATGAACGATAAATTCTTCCCTCGGACTATTATACTAAAAGAGATGGTATTGGCTTTTTTCCAGGCCATGCCTCTTTGGCGTACTTCTTCTTCTTGGGCTCCATCACTCGCGGCTCCGTTGTACCCGGTATCTCTTGCACGTGCGGGACCTCCGTCTGTATCTGATTCGGAGTCATTTCCACTTCGGGTGCTGGATTAGGCAGCGCGATACCTAACCGCGATGTCAACGAAGTCAAAGCTGTGGAGAAAGGATTGGTTGACATAGAAGACGGCGTAAACTGCTCCGGAGGTAGGTCATGATAAAGTTGAGGAGTGGTGGATGTTGGTTGCATATGTTTCAAAGGATTGTGATCCTCTGATAAGGATATGAGGCCACCTTCCATACGCATTCTCTGCAAGGAGATGTGTACATTTCGTCAAGTCACTCCATTCTTCAATAAGATAGACTTTCGTAATTATATAAGTTTGCAAAATTAATTCGCACATTATACGAAAAGGAAATGAAGTACATTATGCATGCAAGTACATACTTTACTAGGAACAACTGTTGTTTGTACGAGATTACGAAACCTCCCAACCGACGGATCAACGTCTTCAGGATTAATGACTTCTTCGTCGTCATTAAAAGTGATACCCTTTTTCTTACGCTTCCGAGTCGGTTTGTGCATCTCGTCGTCTGTTATACCAAGCATAGAAATCCGTCGATTGTGAGCCGTGTTGAACTCTGTTAGGTTCTAAACATCACAATTATTCAGTTATTTATTTAATACAATGGAGAAGTTTCGAGATTTTAGTGTACTCTAAAATATATTAAATATAATATATTATTAAAATAAGTATATTGTTAAACTTTTAATACGTACATCCAACTCTGTTTCTGTTTCTGGTAGACCTAATAAACCACCGGCATCAATATCCTCGGATAGCTTCTCCAGTTCTTCAATAATAGGTCTGGCTCCAGTTTGAGGCCTTTCTCTTATTATGTAATATCGAGTAGATGCACCAAAGTGAAATGTACTGTCGATTGGTAACTGTGTTGGCTTGTGAGCTTCCAGGCGTAAATTGCCGATGAAGGTCCCATGTGCTGAAAACCACATTTCCATGTAATACATATAATACTTTTACTACAAGAATTTCCATGTAGTACATATACTTTTATGAAAAAATATGTTAACATTGTACTATTAGTTACTTAAAATTATTAAAACAAATTATTAAAGTTATTAACACAATATACCATATAAAGTAGTACTAATAAAATAACTATATACACAAACTGACAATAATTCTAATATCTAGTGGTGCAATAGTAATTAGAATTTCTTAATTACATATAAAATGTCTGTATATACATTTGTGCATCTTAACTGTTGATTATCTAGTAAAATAGCAAAGATATAAGAATTAATTTTTTTTCATAGATGCTTTTATAGCTATGATCTACAAATATGTCGACACAATGAGAATTAACTGAAAAATTCTAATTAGATTCTAATTAAGGTTTTTAGATCAGTCTATGTACTCACTACTTCCTAAGTCAACTAGAAATGCCCGATTGAGATGTTTGTGGTAAACAAGAGCTGCATGAACACGAGAGCAGGATGCGTGATCAATGCAAAAGTCATTCAGCTGCTGATTGCGGCCAAATAGATAACATTTCTTCTCATCTACCATAAGTTTCTGCAAAGTAATTTGCAAAAAGTATGCTAATTCATCAACGAGTAACATGATACTTTTAAAGAACTGACATGTTCTTTCATTCTTTCAAGGAATAACTACAATCGACACATCTCTTTACCTGTATCAGTTTATCACTCTTGAGTACATCCAGATGTAGTCCTACCGGTGGCTTCCCGGCCCTGGAACGGATACAACATAATGTCCAAGATACTTATATCATAGCACAGTGATAAGAAAAATTGAAACACATGATATGCATAAACAATAATTTATCAAAACTATTACTGAGAATCTATCCACTAAACATACCAATTTGGGACCTCATAGTGATTAGCCATTGTCGTCTATTTCTATTGGTAATTTGTTTACTTAATGGTAAAATACAACAGTCAAACACTAGATTATACAAGTGAAAACATGTCCAAAAATGTTGGAACGTCACAGCAAAGTACACGCCAAAATACTAACAAGCAGCACTAAAAAGAAAACTTTACGGGTTGGAAAATTTACACGCAAGAATTCCCTAAGTGATCCTTCTAGTAAATTTAAATCTAAAGATGCACCAAATTGCACTATCTGTACTTAAAGTGAAATATTTAATTCTTGATGAAAGAGAGATAAACACACAAAAATAGGAAGATTATAATTATAGCAATTATTTAAAAGAAATATTGGTAATTATATAATTCAATCACAGATGTCTATACTAAACTAGATTGCTAACAAGCTATCTAAAAGCATGTAACGGTTTGTATCCGATAGTTCCCGGTGTATGCGAGAAAATGGCCGCTACCGCCACATATTTTCACTACGTTTAGTCATAAAATTCTTTTGTTGAAAATAAGCAGAATAAATAATCTCGTGATAGGAATATAATCTTGTGGTAAACAAGAGCTGCATGAACACGAGAGCAGGATGCGTGATCAATGCAAAAGTCATTCAGCTGCTGATTGCGGCCAAATAGATAACATTTCTTCTCATCTACCATAAGTTTCTGCAAAGTAATTTGCAAAAAGTATGCTAATTCATCAACGAGTAACATGATACTTTTAAAGAACTGACATGTTCTTTCATTCTTTCAAGGAATAACTACAATCGACACATCTCTTTACCTGTATCAGTTTATCACTCTTGATAGGAATAGTTGGAAGTGATCACCAAATATGGCGGCGGTCTATATCACGGAACACAATGTCTTGGTATAGTGTATTGGAAAATGTACAAAATTAATACGTGCGTATGAGTGTATGTGAATATAAAGTTTTACCCTGATTGCAATTGTCTGTTATATTAAAACATACCTGTGAAATAATAGTCTTACCATTTTTACGTCCCCATTCTAATTATATTTTATTTTTTCGGCTTCTCGGTTCTCCGGCTTTTACAATGTTTCGCATAACAATCCGGTATCTTCTAATACGAATATAGGGCGCAGTCCAGTAACCGCTACAAATGCTGCGCAGCGTTTCTCTTTCTTGTTCTATTTCTCAGATTCGAATGAAGAAAGAGAAAGAAATAAAAACGTTACAAAGCATTTGTAGCGCTTATTGGATCGTACTCATAGTCCTATCCATAAGGACCTTTCACCACAAAGGTTAAAATCCTCGATCTATGTATACACATGTGTCATATATATATATATGTCACTTTTGATCACCAAAGATGGCCGCGACGAAGATTTCCCCTCACCGCGCTGGCTTCACACCTCGCTCATAAAAATACTTTACGCTCCGTCCAGATATTCCTACGTTCATGATACTCATACAAGTGACATGTCACACACATAGGACCGCCGCCATTTTCTCGCATGCAACCGGAAACTTTACGCGACTCACATTCGAAGCCCTTGTTAGTAATTTAGTTTATGCCCAATTTCTTCACCTCCAGTTAACTTTGTCTGCCAGTTATTCTATTGGAATTGACCAATCATATTTATGGTTGGCAAGATTAACTAATCACGTTTGACATTTATCTGACAGATAAAGTTAACCGGAGGTGAAGAAATTTGACATTAGTATAGACATATGTGCTTTCGATTTAGCTCAACTCATGTATTTTCACGCGTAGCAACCAAGTATGAAAGTTAAAATCGTTGCTCTGCCCTGCAAAGCAAAATATTAATTGTTAAAGTTAACGATAGTTGAGTTTCAACTAAATCGGAAGTGAGGACTCTAAACTGTATAATTATCACATAGGTAAATATAGATAGCAGGATCCACTTGACGCTAAGAATGCTTCAAAACTAATCAAAATTGTTCTTTGCGCACTCCAAAGTATTTATAGTTTCAAATGGATCCTATCTAGAGTGGGATCCACATGACACTTCGCAAATGCTTCGAAGTATCACGTAAACCAATCATAGACGTTTACTGCGTGCTCCAAAATTTATAGCTTGAAGTGGATTCTAACTATTGATTTATTTTTTTTAGTTGCACTGCTGAACTAGTGCAATAAATTAAAATGAGACAAGTATATTTTTTCTCATTCTAATTTATTGCACTAGTTCAGCAGTGCAGTTAAAAAGAACAGATCACAATAGGTGCTCTTCAGTGGCGTACACTGTGTTACACAAAACCAGTTTATTGGTTGCATATTATCTTACAAGATATTTTAGATAATATGTGACCAATAAACTGGTTTTGTGTATGTGTGTGTCAAGTGTGTTAAGCAATTGGAAACCAATTGCACCCAATGCATCCCTAGTACAGTCCCAGTGCATCTAAGTGGAGTAATGAAGTGTAAATCTCTTGTTAACCTGTGCAATCAGTCAAGTCCTGTGCAACCTGTCAATCGACGTTATATTTTATTCTTTTAGAATTTAGAAAAGGCTCTTTGAAGCTTGCCTGGAGCTCCTCATAGTTCAACGCAGTGTCATTTTCAGATTGTAGTCTACGATTGTGATGAACAGTGGGTGAAGTAGAGTGTAAGAGAAATATTGCTCCGAGTTCCGAACGGAGGTTAAGTGTGCACAGCTGATGTGTTTATTTGGAGCGAGTTGGAATTGACGGATTCAGCGCGACGAGAGGATGTCGTACAAAGTCGGCCAGCGCGTCGAAGTGCCTGTAAAAGAATGCCAAGGTGTGATAGCCTACGTCGGCTTCCCGTCCTTCGCGTCGGGCAAGTGGATCGGGGTGATACTCGACGAGCCGAAGGGCAAGAACAACGGTACCGTCAAGGGCAAGATGTATTTCAATGTGAGTAACATGTTCTTGGTTTAGCTTGATGTTGTACTAAGTTTGTTGTATACTGGTGAAGAACAAAATATATTTCATGTCGTCGATACAGTGCGCGGAAAATTGTGGAATGTTCGCTCGGCAAGGGCAACTTATCTTGTTGGATGAAGCTGGTAATAGAACAGAACCTGTCAGTCCGTCATCAGCAGGTAGCAGTGCCACAACACCTGATGACAGTGGCCCTGCCAGGGCCAGGAGTCGTCTAAATAGGTAAGTCCTCACAAATGCAAAATTATGTATGTAATCAAAGAACTCTCTTTACTTAGATATAAAAGAAATAAGCTCTTATGAGTGACATATGCACTATGATCTCTATCTACATTTCCTATACTACAAATAGCTTTTACAATACAAATATATATATATATATATATATATATATATATATATATATATATATATATAATATAAATACTATAGAACATAACAGTATCTTATTGCATTATGGTCTAAGGTACCTGAGTATTTTTTTTTATAAAATTTAAGATAAATAGAATCAAATAATAATTGAACAGTATCCCATTTGTTTGCACTAAGAACAATAGCATATGTTCTTTGCTGATTTTGCTCAGTAAAATTTATATGAACCCTTGTTCCATAATCTTTTCACGCTAGCATTAGTACACGTCGAAGGAATGAGCCTACAGCGTAAGTTTTATTTTGCATAATAATGTTGAGGATTAAGCAATATTTCTATATTATACAACATCTTGTTCCGTGCTAAGCATCTCAAGTATTCCATGTATAAGCAAGTAAATAGGCGAGTATGTAATTAATCAATCCTTAAAATGTATTATATGCTGCTCATAAAAGTGTACGGAGAAAAACATCTCCTGCGAATATTATTCGTCAGCAAACTGACAAACTTTCTGGGTAAGACTATATATAAACTGAATCGTGGCAAGTGGATATGTCAGCAATGTGTAATTTTTTTTTTATTGCTACCGCTTACATATATATCTTGATAACAAGTATCTTCTATTTCTAAAAAAATGTCACTATCACTAAGCATTTAAGCCCTTTTGCAGCTTCAAAGCACAAACTATTGCAGTATGCTTTACATGCAGCTTCTGAATATGTGTACACTTTTATTTTATGATAAATAATTGGTAATATTTATATATGATCTTTTTGTTACTTTATTATCAAAATGTCACAGAATACCAGATGCTATTATTTGCTGCTGCAATCTTTTATAATTTTACAAATCTTTATTTTTCGCCTTTTTATTCATTCTGCGAAAATATTTAATATATGCGATGCAATTTTGAGTTTCAATCATGATTTATTGCAGTTAATCTAGCAGCAAACATGTACAAGGTGTGTAGTAAATCGTGGTACGAGAAGGTGCTTTCTCCATCACTTCATTGCGATTTACTTTACATTCTTGACATAATCTGCACAAAGATATTATTACAAGATTGTGTATTACTTTACAGTTCTCGATTATCTTTGACCGGAAGTAGAACGTTATTAAGTGCCCCAAGCACAGAAAGCCTGTCCGGATCACAGCATGAACGTAGAGACGGCGGCGAGTCGTTAATTCCAGCACCAACTTCCACTAAACGTGCTTCATTTATCGAGGTAAGCCACTACACGTCGCGTGTCAGCTATAACGGGATAACAAGTAAGATTCTAAAATAGAATAGATTACCTTTCTGTCAAATAGTAAGCAAAAGTTAAATCGTAAACATCCAGAGATTAACTTTTTATCTGAAAGACCAGTAATAGGTATATAATTCTTACGGTTAAATTAGTTATCATCCATTTTCGTGGTGTACTTTTATTGTTTTTGACTAACAAGAACGCAGGTTCTGACATTTGGAGATCTCTAGGTTTTTTCGATTATATTTGTATGTCACTTATGTTCATGTGCGAGGAATCCTATTCTGTGACTCGGTGATGATGTCAAATGCAGTTTTGCACGTATGCGTTTCGTCATGAGCGGAAAGTGTGCTTTGGAAGTACGAGGTAGAATTAACGGTGCGAGTTAAGAGACACGAAACGAGAGAAAAAAAAAAGAGAGAAACCTTTTGCGAGAACAAGTCAGAGGATCCCGTTGGCACAGAATGATTCATATGGGAATGCACGTACGTGTTTCAGAAGTCCCCTAGCACGAGCTCGCCTCCCGGCAAAAAGCCAAAGGCCCAAGATGATCACAATAATGTAATTAATACTCATTAATTGTAATATCTCAATTTTTTAATACATCACCTCTCTGATCTTGTTCTTTCTCATACTAGCTGTTTGTCGATCATGTAAGCATCGTAACACATAACTCTCTCGCAACCGAATAATATAGCGTCATTGCACCTTTCGAACGGATACGGCCATCCTTAGTGGGATTACGGACTTGGTTTCGTTTTTTATTCTCTGCCACATCTCCATCGTTGCGTTTGAACATCGGCTTCATTAACTGAGTTTTCCATAATGCTTCGATAGAATTGACGATTCACGAGCGGGAAGCGGTGTTCCGCTTTCGATCAGGAACTGAATCGCCCTCCCCTCGCGTTTGCGTTGCAAGGATAACAACACTAATGTTAGCGCGAGCGAGTCCTTTTTTTTCTTTTTTTTCTTAACAGCATCATGGTATGCACACACACACACACAGAGGTGTAACTTCCGTTTGACCGGAAACTTTCTTGGAGTTTACGCTCGTAATTAATAAGAATTAGTCTACGAGCCCTGAAACGGGAATGCGAGTGACACATGTGTGTGTGAGTCGTTAGAGGACGTGATAGATGAAACAAGTTGACGCTCCGACTTTTTAGTATTCTTACGTAAATGTATCATGTAACACACGACTCAGCTCATCAACTGTGGCTCTTCCTGTACTCGTTAGTACTAATAGAGTATTCGGTGTAGCTTGTATTGGTGTTTGTTGTCACACAACTAATCTCATTAATCACTGTAAAAGACAGACTAATTCTCTACTCGACTGTAAATACAAGAAACAACGTACATTATCGTAAAAGCCACATTACTCTCATCTATAGGAAATATAGGGTGTTTTTTTCATTGCCGCAAAATCGGGAGTAATTATCTTTTATCTTTGTTTGCGCCATCCATGTACCACGTTTCAGTTACACCGTGTGCGTGTATATGAGTTTCAAGTTGGCACAGGTACGCAGAGATTCAGAGGACCTTGCAGAGAAACTGTTTGGCGATATACGATCCTTTCATGCGATAATAAAAAGAACACCCAGCTGTACGAAGCGCAAGAGTGTTTCATTTGCCTCTTTCTATAATTCAGACAGGTTTTGTAGAAACACTGAAGCCGCAGTTCGTACCCGGTCAAGTGATGGCAGGTTCGGCGGCGACTGCGAACCTGGTGGAAGAGAAATTGTCGCACTTGCAACTTACACAAGAGAATGATAACTTGAAATCTCAGGTAAGCTAAAATATTTCTCCAACAAGTGTATCTTTCTCGATCTGTCCTACGGTTCTGCTGTTTTGCTGTTTTGCTGTACAGACTGTTTTTTCTTCTACAATTATGCACTTGCATATACATATAACGTGGAACGTTATAGGTGCACGATCTTACTGAGAAAGTAGAAACGCTGCGTGTGAAACGAATGCAAGACAAGGAACGGATGAAAGACTTCGAGAAGACGAAACTTCAAATAGAGCAACTTCTCGAATTCAAAGCTAAAGTCATGGAAAGCCAAGTGAGTAATCTGTGAATTGATTCATGAAAGTATCATTTATTTTCATTTTTGTCATAATATGCATAATATTCTTTTAATTCATGACAGTAAAAATACTTCGATTCTTATGTTCATCGTTTGTTATCAAAGGCGAGTCTTCAGAGAGATCTTCAACGAGCTCGACAAGAAGCCCGAGAAGCTCACGTAGCGAGAGAACAATTCCAGGAAGAAATGGCCGATCTTGCTGAGACTGTGGAAATGGCTACGTTGGATAAAGAGATGGCGGAAGAAAAGGCCGAGACGCTTCAGATAGAGCTGGAGCAACTTAAGGATAAATTGGAAGAGCAAACGTTGGACTTGGAGATATTACGTACAGAAATGTCTGAGAGGGTATAATATATCTTGTCTTTACTTTGATTGCGAGAGAATACCGATTTATGTACATCATTGACTGCGGACTCGACATGTATGCAAACGAGATTATTGTTTCTGCGAATGAAGGCGGCCGGCGGTGGATCGGTAACGGGAGCTTCGAGTTATGAGATCAAGCAGCTGGAACAGCAGAACAGTAGGCTGCGTGAAACGCTCGTGAGGATGCGCGATTTATCAGCGCACGAAAAGCACGAGTTCCAGAAATTGCAGAAGGACATGGATCAGAAGAAATCCGAGATCTTGGAATTGGGTCGAACGAAAGAGAAGCTGTCGGCGCGCGTCGAGGAAATGGAGCATCAAATCGCGGATCTACAAGAACAGGTACAGGTGTCGTTTGCGCGTGACTTGTATCTTGCGACTGTTCGCGGTTTCTTGAGCATTTCACGCGTCTCTCGTAGGTCGATGCAGCGTTGGGAGCTGAAGAAATGGTCGAAATGCTGGGCGAGAAAAAAATGGCACTTGAGGAAAAGGTGGCCGAATTGGAAGAAGCTGTCGCGGACTTGGAAGCTCTGCAGGTACCGTTTCAAATTTGAATGATCAAGTTAATACAAAAGATTTGTCACGCGCTTGTCAAGTAAAGTAGGAAACGAAATTATCCAATTTCGTAAGATTAATAATTTTTATGAATAAAATGTATAATATTGACTCGGTATTTTTTAGGTATCTAACGAGGATTTTCTCTTCTGATACTCAAACTTTCTACGAGAATTTAAAAAATTACAAATCTTTCGCATCAACATAATAGAAAACAATATTTCTTTGGATTACATGGTGCACGCAGTAAATAATACATAAACTCATTTAGGACATGTCCGACCAACTAGCCGAATCATCGAAAGAGCTTGAGCTTGAGCTGCGTGAGGAATTGGATCTCGCTCTCGGTACGGCGCGCGATGCTCAACGACATCGGGACGCCGCGCTGGAGACGCTCGCAGATCGCGAACTTACCATCGCGAAATTCCGCGAGCTCACACATCAACTACAGGAACAGTGCTTGCAGTTGCAGCAACGCGTGCAGTCGACGGAATCTACCAAGACTAACGTTCGAGGTAAAGGAAGACGTTCGAGGTCTCGTGGAGTAGCCGATCGTTTCTACATATTCTCATGCTCTCGATTGGCATTTCAGGCGCGGATCAACAACTGGCGGAGATACTGGACTTCCAGAAGACGTTTGCCGAGACTCGAGCGCAAACTAAGGCGGTGGATCTCGAATTACGTCGGTTGGACGCGGAGGAAGCGCGAAACCACGTGTGTCACTTGCTGTCCTTCATGCCGCCTGCGTTTTTGGCTCGCGGCGGAGACCACGACGCGATACTGATGCTTCTGTTGATACCGAGAATGACGCAGAAAACAGAGATATTGATCTCGCAAGTGCGAGAGAAGTACAGATCGATCGAGAAGATAGACCGGTAATTTTTACTTTGTCCTGTCTTTTTACGATGATTGTGTATAAATTTTTTATATAATATTTCATTTTTCATATCTCATCAGGGTTTCGGTAATAAGAGGTCACTCGGTGGCGCAGTACTCGTTCAGGTCACGCCTGTGTTCACACATGTACGCCTTGCAGACAGCATTGAGTTGCTTCGAGTCAATTTTGAACTCGTGCAGCCCGGAACTGTTGCTTAAAGCAGGCAATGCTTACCCGGAGATGGCAGCGCAAGAAAAATCCTTGGACTCGTTAATCGAGTTGGCCAAGAGAGATCAGCTGGACGAGAACCTGCCGATGGAAGCAATTGAGAAGTGCTGTACATATTTCGCCACGATGTTCTCCGTGCTTTTCGGCGAGAGCACAGCTGTCAATCAGGCACGCCTGATCGTCAACGGGACGAGAACTTTAGGCAGCATATGCGATGCTATTTCCACCGAAGCTGCAGCAATCAAAACGCTGATACAAGGAGAAAGTGGTGATATAGGTATGTACAATAATATTATGTTGGTGCAAAAGATTTGTCGTGCTTGTTAAATAAAATAAAATGCAAAATTATCCTACTTCAAAAAATTAATTCAGTTTTTAATAAACTGAGTATTTTTTAGACAATTATTCGGTATTTTTTCTTTTTGGTTATGAGAATTAAATTCTGAGCATTGTTTTAAATTTTGCATCTTTTTATGTTCTATATCTGAAATCTTACATTGTTTTATGTTTTGTATTACAGGCCTGCTTTGTCAACATGTGGAAACGACATGTGAGGTAATCCAGCAGCATCTGAAATCAGCTAGAAGGCGAGTACCGCGCGATCACGCTGGTCCGGCGTTTTCTGTAGGCGCCAACTTGGGACTGGATAAAGATTGTAACGAGCAATTTTCAACGTCGTACCAGCACGCCGTGAAAATCATGAAGACGCTTCAAAATTTATTGAAAAGCGCTCTGCACGCCATCACTGAGAACGGTGGTAAGCGTTTAGCGTTTTCTTGTCTTGGAAATCTTACTATTCTTTGTACTTGCGTTAACGAATTTTATTGTTTTCAGACCTGGACACCGGAGTGGCAGCTGACAAATTGAAGGAAATGGCCGCGACGTCCAGTGAGAAAGTATATGACACCGAAGATTTAGGACCCGTAGCCACCATTAAAGCTAGCTTAACGGTAATACAACAATTGGCCGCGAATCTAGCGCAGAAGATGGCCGAGTGCGAGAATGAATTGGCTATAAGCGGACAGACGCAAAACCAACAACAATCTCTGGAGGGCGAGCAGATGACGCCAATCTTAATTAGAGCAAATGCGGCAAGAAAGGAGTCGGAAGAAACTAAGATACTCAGCAGGTGCGTATCTCATCGTTGTTGTTATGTATTTACGTATTTGTTGAAAGATTGTACGATGCTGATCTGTCAATATTAGAAAACTCGAGGCACGGGATAGCGATATTCGCGAGGCGAGATTGGCTTTGCGAGAGAAGCAAGAGGAATTGTCTGAGATGTCGCTGCGGAAGGAACTAGCCGAAAAGCGTTTTGTCACGCAACAGCACGAGCACGAAATGAACGTCGAACAGCTAAAAAGAAAATTGGAAGAGGCGCAAAATCAATTGAAACGCAAGGTATCTCTCTCGATTTCTTTCGACGTTACACCCGTCTGCTGATGAGCTTTCTCAAATATTGCGTTTTCTCGAGCAGGAAAAAGAATTCGAAGAGACAATGGACCATCTTCAGACCGATATCGACAGCCTAGAGTCAGAGAAAGGACAGTTGAAGGAAAAGCTAAAGTCAATTGGCAAGAAAACGTTGTCGACGTCTGGTGCAGACAATATCGCGGGCAATACTTCGATGACAAGCACTATGGACAACAAATATTACGTGCAGGAAATCAGCGCTCTCAGAGAGGCCTTGAACAACGAGCATCTGCAGAAGAAGAAGTTAATGTGCGACGCTTTACGCCAGAAACTAGATAATTTGGAACCGTTGTCGTCGCCGGCGAATCTCAAGTCTCTGAATCCGACGATTCAGGATTTGCGGAAGAAGACCACCGATCTCGTTAAGGTACAATTATATCAATTTAGGTCTCACGGTGATTATTATCGATTGTTATTGATAACCGAGGCGTGTAAAATGCGAATACTTTATTATATTTCAGGATACTCAAAAGTCTTTAGTATATCCGACAGTGCCTGACTTGAGGCGCAAAATGGGTGGAACATCTTATCGTTACTTATTAGAGCGGCGGAAAAATATTATGCAACTGAAAGAACGAGCCGACGAGTTGAAGGTTTGTACAAATGGTAGTCATAGTCAATGTAACTTTTGTCGTTGAATGCCCAAGATGATGTTCTTTTCTTATTTTTGTGTCTTAGGCTCAAATGTGTCGCGAAGTCATTAAACACACGCCTGGTGGAAGAGCGGAAGCGAATTTCGCTGTGTACCCGAATCGCGAGATGGCGGCGGCTATGAACGAACGCAAGTTGCTCGCCGCCGAGATCAAGATCCCTTATAACGGTCCCGAACAATCGTTTTCTGTTAATGTAACCACGCAAGAACTTAGGAAAATTCATACTTTGCTATACTATTAAAGAACGAGGAAATCCGCGTATTGCTTGATATTGATTTTTTATGACAACATATGCGAAGTAAACGTCAAAGTATATTGTACACAAAAAAACTAACTTTTTCTAATAGTTCCTTCATTGATAGCAATATTCTGCAGTGTTGCTGTATTCAGTCATGCTTTATTAGAGAAAGAAAAGAAACGAATCAAGCGAGTTATACACTTATATAATGTTACGGATATTTTTCGAAGTTAGTTCTAAGCTTTTATATGAAGAATTCGTTCATTGTGTCCTGGTTTCGACGAGTGAGGTACAGGGCATGTTTAGTAATTTGTAATTTGCACTCGTGCAATATTTATTTATTTCCGACGGAGCTACAGCGCGATGACCGGTGCATCGCGGCTGGCAGGCTCTCCAGCGTTCTCTTGTTACGTTATATAAACGCAATTGTCCATGTAGTATTAACAATTCAGAAGAGAAATCGTGTGCCTCTGCGGCTTTTCTGTATTATATATGTCCTTAAGAATTGTCAAATATACGATCTAAAAATATTTACATAATCGTTCTTTATGTATGTACATCCTAGACGGTGATTGGTATCACAATATAGAAAGTACGTGGTCTTCCGGAGCAGGTACGATCACCTACCTTTGACCAAATACGTCAATACACTTTCAGCGATGCTATGTCATATATGCGTCGTTCGTAATTAACATTTAATGAAACAGAAATATTATATAGTACAATATTCTAATTCTTTTATTAGTAAAGACAAAAGGAGAGCAGTAAACCGTTGATGTATTCTTCAGTATTTATGAAATAACGTATGCCTTAATTACTGTCACAATTTTATTATACATACAGATATGCGTATGTGCGATATGTATATACACATACACTCTTTTCATATAGTATATATATATGTGTATATACATACACATACACACAGCAGATAGTATTAAGTGCATATATCGTTAGTTGTTTTTATTAACTTACTCGCTCATTCATTCCTCTCACAGCATAGCAATGCGCGCACTCTTTTACACTTTCATTTATTCTCTTTAATAATAATAATAATTAACCACGCATTCGATCGAGGATGGTTGTAGCTTTTTCGTTCTCGGTCTCAAAAGAAAATGTCCGTCAGGCGGTGTAATCCACTTCCTTATAATATATAAGCTTGGAGATTTCCGGAGTCGAATTTATTTTCGCAATCGTACATCGCAGTTCGTATTAAGGCTGACCGGACGACTGATAGTACCTTCCACGACGAGGACGTGACACACTAATATTATTCGTTAAAGGTGTGTGTGTGATTATAACTTCTCCTTTTTGGAACTAATGTTCGCAGAGCATGGACGTGAAGTTTAGCAGCTAGAATGAATAATATAACTAAAACCTTAAACGCGAGATAAAGAGAGATAATCGTGTTCCCTAATAATTGTCGATATCGATAAGTATTCAGACTGTCGAAATGACTTTTCTCAATGTTGTGTATATGTGTGTGTTATATATGAAGGTGTGTATATGTACGAAAAATGCTCGATTATGAAATATGAAGTCGCATGTCTACATAAAATATCAAATTTAATATTGAAGCAACAGCACGTGTGAAACAGCTACACAGTCTCAGCTATTAAAACTATATACGGAAGAATTGTTCAGCTAAACTGAGTTACAGGAGTACTTTTCAGACGAGTTTTTTTCTCTCTATCTTTCTTCATCTATATCTCTTTTAGACGAAAGTAAGCCTGTAACTAGCTCGCACTAATCAACGTTCTCTCTTTTCCTTTAGCGATAATTTTATTTCTGCGATCGAGTAAACATATTCACAGACAGAAAGAGAGTAAATTGAGGAATATCCTTATGATAGAATCGTTAATCATTTGTTCGTTTCTCCATACAGTTACTCGTTCTGTTACGCGATATAGTAGTCGGTAGTAGATACTTAAAAATTAGGTGGTTGCCTTAATATTACGGTATCTTTAAACGTTACTTGTCAATATCATATCGGGGAGACATCATCGTTTATACATGTAAAAAAAAGTTATTCAGTTCGAACGCGTCAGAGATACGTTGAATGATATCCTTGGCGCTATCGATATATATCACCCTGATAAGAAAAATATTAACATTTTCTCAACACTCCACGTACTCCACGTATGCTCACACTATACACTGAAGACAAAAGAAAATTTAGGAAGCAAGTTGTCAGTTCGCCTTACGATAGTGCTCATACTCTCTCTCACAAGACACTCGCGTATTTTCTCACGTCGCGTTTCCGTTTGTATAGATATAAAATTTTACAGGATCACCACAAGAATGGTCTGAATGTCCTCTCTTTCTCTCCATGAAAATTATACAGCAAACCTCCGATCTAATCGACTATTCGCATTCGAGGTTAACCACGTGTATCCGTTTACAAAAATCTTCTCAGGACATCAAAACCTTTATTTCTTTTTCAATTATTGTAATGGTAAATTAAATATATAGTAACAAAATAAAGAACATATGCCACTTTCTGGCTGGCTGGTCTCACTTGCATTTCAAATCCAAAGAGTTCAATCAACCGAAACTCTAAGTACCAATGCTACACAAAGTATCTCATATATAACTGCAATTACGTGATACACCTCTTCCTCTATGTCGCATTATAAGAATGTTACATTTGTAATCACATAATTCATACGCTTTCTCTCTTTCGCCCTCGCTTTCTGTCTCTTTCCTCCTTTCTCCGCGAAATTAGAGCCTTGACTGATACGACTCTTTGAATGAACAATTTGTAAGAAGTTCAATACCTTTCGTATAAAACACTTCAGTGATCGCAATCAAGGTTGTTGCTACGATCTGGAGTTATAGTCTTAGCGCGCTCCTGAAACAAATAAAAGTAATTTTGAAATTATATAAAATAATTTTATTCGTTGAATTTTGTTATGGATAATAACGATAGTGTTTCACTTTTTGTTAATATCAGTTGCTTAGTATGCATCATATAACAGTATGTGCGTTGTGTAAAACATGTTTTTTTATTTTTAGAAGACGCGCATATAGATATCTACACGAAAATAGATATTTTCAGATATAGAGATTTTCAAATTATACTATATACGAATAAAATTAGAAATGTAGTATTTAATACTACGATCTAATTTTCAATTAAATAATTAATGGATAAAAGTACATTAAAATTTCTTAATTTTATGCGTAAAGATAAAGGGACTGTTGTTATATCGTGTTTCAAATAACTCAACAATATCTTTGAATAAATTTAAAATTTACTAATTATTCATTGTGATAACCGTTCTCTATGTAAAATAAATTTCCTCAGAAGAATTTTATATTATGTATTAACTATATGAAAAGAAACGTATTTATCGATACAATTAAAAATTTGATTGAAATAAAACATCTAATATCATGGAGCATTAATTTGTGGTTAAATGTTAATCAGAATGAAGCATACTTGTATCTCCGTAAATGTTAGGCGTTATCATTAGCAAAGATGTAAATAGAATCTATTGTCCACAAAATTTTGCGAGGTTTATTGGAGCGGTAAGAGGCATTTAGGGAACTCGATTATTGCTTCTTGGAACGATTTGTGCCAATTAATATGTTATTAATTTTCGTGGAATCTTCCATCCATTTTTTAAGCTTGGAATTCGCTATTAAGAACGATAAGAACGTTTGTTGTAACTGCATGTAAAATAATGACACAAGAGATATGTATATATCTCTAATGGACTTCTAATGGAATCTACAAACTATGTGCACATGCTACGAAAGATCGATTCCAAGAACTTTAGTTGCACCTGATTGAGCGTTGGCCTGAGTAGGTGCCTGACCTTGGCTTTGTCCTTGCCCTTGAGTACCCTGAGCACCTTGAGATGGACCTGGTCCAGCTGTTGCTACTCCACCGCTAAGAGTGCTATTCCCTTTTTGCTTCAACATTGTCCAATCAAATGTATAATCGTACTGATGGTTTAATGTACGGAAAAGTATGCGGAAAAGCTGACGTAAATACATGTAATCTGGACTTTCTTCGAAACGCAAGCCTCTCGTATAATTCAAATACATCGCGAATTCGGCGGGAAATCCCTGAAAAATGCGATACTCGGTATTACGGATATAAATATCACACAGAGAACAATACATAAAATTCATTAATATACCTTGCATAAAACTTCTACTGGTGTGGACATTTTCTTCTCACTAATCTTCTCATACTTTTGTTTCTTTGTTGCTGCCTTGAGACCTTGCCAGGGTAATGATCCTCGGTTAAAGTACATAAGGACGTAACCAAGTGATTCCATATCGTCACGACGACTCTGTTCAATCCCAAGGTGCGCATTAATAGAAGCGTACCTTGCGGTGCCAGTTAAGTTTTTATCTTCACGATATATTATGTGCAGTCTTGTACGACTATCCCTATACTTCTTAGCCAGTCCAAAATCGATTAGGAATAGCTGAAATATTTGTTTTCATAGTTTAGGGAATTATGTAAAATTAATCTCTGATATTATTAGGAAGCAGTCAAGTTAAAATGTTTACCTTGTTACAATGCCGTCCAATTCCCATTAAAAAATTATCTGGCTTTATATCTCTGTGAATAAAGTGTTTGCAGTGAACATATTCAATTCTACCAATCATCTGATCTGCCAACATCAAGACTGTTTTAATTGTAAACCTTCTTGAACAGAAAGTGAAAAGATCTTCCAAAGAAGGTCCAAGAAGATCCATAACAAGAACATTATATTCACGTTCTTGGCCATACCTGAGAACATAATGGTTTTATGACCTTTTTGATTCATATAAACTTTAATTGATAATTTAGCTTGCATGCATTTCACTACAATAGTGGAAATTGTACAGACAAAATATATAAAACATCAGAAGAATTGGATTCTTTAATTACCAGCGTACATGCGGTATTCCTATACCGCCATGTAATATTTTGTACAACTTTGATTCATATAAAAGCTGCGGGTGTCGGGCTCTCATGTTTTCCAACTTAACTGCAACTTCCTAAAATGCAAAGTGTACTGTCAAATTATGTCAGTGTTTTGGAGATTTATCCAACTCAAAAGTCTTAAAAAATGAGACAAATAAAACTATAATAAAATAATGACATGATTGTTTCCTTACTAAATTTGCTTAATCTATTTGTTAAAGATACTTGAGTTATACAATTGTTAAAGAAGCACTTGGGTTATATAATTGATACAAAATAAATTTAAAAAATAAAGCAAAAATAAGATATAATAAGCTTCTCTCCTAATACTCAAAAATATGAATATATTAATTGAAATAAGTGCTAATTCAACGATGATGTGATATACTGGCTGATACCAACTCTACACAATGTCCATTTATTAGAGTTGGTTTTAATATTATATAGTGAATGAGTTGTTCTAGCAGAGTTATAAACTATATTGGTCACACTTGGAAACTCTGCTCAAGTTGAGTTAAATAATACATTAACAATGATCGACTTGAGTAAACAGGGAAACAAATGGTAGAAGCAAAATGATCATTGTTGCACTATTATAGCCTGTTACAACTAATTCAATTTTCTCTCTTTGTAAGAGAGACTATAACCTATAGTAAAGACACAGAAAACGAGATTAACTAATTCCGACGGATATATCTGAGACGTCTCAAGTTGGACACGCGGGTCACATTTCGGCGAACGGTTTTTGCTGTGCTCACGGCGTATGCTGATAATTATTACTATGACGAAGATTAGCTTATATTTATCTCGACCGCGTCGCGGCACGTACGTCACTCGCGATACGCACGATCGTCCGAATTTCCGCAAAGTTAAAACCTACGACAATCCGCGCTTGCATGTTCGCCACGGTGGCGAGCGAGCGAGTGAGCGTGTTGCAAGTTCGCGACATCGAGGACGCGATTCACAACGGGAGCTCGCCGTCCACGACGGCGGGGAAAGATCCGTTGCTCTCTCGACGGTGGTCGACATATCGGTGTGACGGCGAGTTCGCGCTGATCGCGCGATCGCGAGATCTCTCGAGCGGACCTCCGTCTGGTAGTGATGCCGCGTCGCCGTCGCTGCCATGTTAAGAAAAGAGTAACACCGACCGCCGTGGACGACGGCGACGAGATCGCGACGAGACGCGACGGGAAACGCGAAAGAAGCGATCGAGCTGGCAGCAGTAGCAGTCCGTACTGTCGAGATTTCTCTCTCGTTCCATACCTCGCCATTGGAGATGTTGATGCCGAGGTAAATGTCGCCGAACGAGCCCGAGCCGATCTTCCTCATCAGCCTGTACTTGCCCCCCACAATAAACTCATTCTTTGCTATTGACATCGCTAACGACGCCATGTCACTACTCTCTCGGTGTGCCTTCTCTCTCCTTCTCCTCCTTCTCACTGTCTGGCTCTACCCTCGTAGCACTGCGTCCCCTATACGGCGGTGTAGTTTTGCACCTAGCCTCCGTCTCTCTTTATCTTTCTCCCACTTGTGCCGCGATCTCACTTTCTCCCTCGGTCTCTCTCTCGTTCTCTTTCTCGCGCGCGCAAGTCGACTCAAATCGTGGCACGGACCGACCGGGGCGTATCAGCACGCTCTTCGGACCGAATTTTGACAGATAAGGTCACCTACGTCGGGATGCTCGATGTTACGGTCGAGATATCGCGCGTTGCACACCGCGTCGGAGGCGAGGAGTCACTGGCAGTGGCACGAACGGGCGCACCGACAGCGCGCCGACATTTTCCCTTTCGCTGCGGACACGAGAGCGACTGGCTGTTCCGGAAGCGTGCGTCACGAGCGACGGCAGAGACACGGAAATTGCTCAATGGAGCTCCTCGCGCTCGTACTCGCGCGATAATCTGCCCATAGATTTCGCGCCTCTCCGACAATCCGTGTACTTCGTTTCGCGTTTTCGCGGTCGTATGGACTCGACCAGGCAGCCGGCTGCTCGCGCGCTTCGTTCCTCGCGTCCTGACCCGAGCGACGTGAAGTCGCTCGCTTGAAGCGCGAGGTAATTCGCGGGCGCTTCAAGCGCGTAGGTCGTGGCGCCACGAGCGCTTCTGTTCTCGCGCACAGCTGAAATAACGGGAGTTTTCCGAGTGTCGCAACTGCTGCGATTCATCCAAATACTTCGGGATTCTTTCGTTTGCGTTTGCGATTCCGACAGCTGCGACAGGCACGAACGGATAAGTTGAAACTTGAGTTTTACATCGAGAGCTTCGTGTCTCCGACAGCGCGCTCCGTTCCATTGGCTGCTGCTGTTGCATTTTATTTCTTATTATCAACGGCGAAACGTAAATATATGATTGCCTGAATAATTGTCCAAACGAGACGAGAGGCTCTATGGAGCGGATCGTGAGTAGAGCGAATTCGCGGACGCGAATCCGGAACTCGAAGCATCGATGTAGGTCAAAGGTGCCATTGGACGTGCTCTCTCCTTCTCTCTCGCGGATACGGCACTGGCGCACCGGGACCTCGTGCTACTTTTTCATATCTTTATAGACCATTGTTCGTGCGCGGCCAGCAGTCGTTCGTTGGCTAACGACTGTCCGTCATCGCACAGAATGGACCGTAATAACGACTACTTGACACACTGTGACGAGCAACGGAGAAATTTCAGAGATTGTTCCCAAGTGAGGAGAGGTTTGAATCGCCAACAATGACATCTGGCGTTTCAGCCGTCGACTCCTCGCACGCGTGCAACATGGCGACGGTACGTCGACACGTTCTCCCGTAACGCGTTTGTTGTCGTTTGTCGATTGTTTGTATTCTTGATAGTGCGTAAAATTGACGATCCGCTTGACATCGCATCCTGCAGACGAGGACTAGACAGTCGTGAAATCAGAGGAAGGAAGAACGAGATCTATGGCAAGTGTTTTGCTGCGAAACACAGCTGGTGTGAGGTTAGGCAAGTACCTGAGGAACACCCGGATAGCCCTGAGAACGAGCGACGAGAGGCACATAATGACGGGCCGGGCGAGACTAGAAAAGGTTATAGAGGAGTTGCAGAAGAACCCTTATTACGACAAGTACGCCACGAAAATCGCAAAGCTGCAACAGACCAGTCCGGAGGAGTTCCTGCAGCGTGTCGAGCAGCAGGAGAAAGCTCTTAAGAAAAGAGGTATATAATCCCTACGTTCACGATGCCGTTGCTCTAATAATGTTATATTTAGATGTTAGGTCAGTCGAGAAGTTTGGTTTTATTTTCAAAAGACTGACATGCATATAACACTAATAATGGCTGTACTCAACAGAGAAAGCTGTTTTGCAACAACTACAAAATTCATGAATCTGATTGGTGTATCTTCTTAATTCTGGATGAATCTAAGAGCATATACCAGTCAAATTCATGAATTTTATACAGTTGCAAAGTAGCTTTTTGTGATACACAGCCAATATTGATATCCTGCTGCAAAATAATCATAAATAATGATAATAATGAATTAGCTTACAACTAATTTTCCATTGAATGCAACAAAGTCAAGTTCGAAAGAGAAACCCTGCTTATCGACTAATCCAATAGATAGTTTGAGACTGTTACTTATTTTCCTTCTTTCTTAGACACTTATCTGCTATGTAATTCTCGTGTAAATCTATTGCGGTGAGAAATGTTTAAATGTTATTGTTAAAGAGAAACGCGAGAAAACCACAAAGATCCAGCAAACTGATGCGAAGCCAGTTTTAAGGCCCGACACGCAGACGAAGGAAGCTCAGTTAAATAGTATAATGAAGGTCGATATGATAAGAGATAAATCGAGGGAGGAAATAATAGAGATATGGAAAGAATATCACAAGCAGAAGGACTGTATTTGCGGTACGATGACGCCCGAGCAGTACGACAAAATGTTCGCGCGCGGCAGTCAGTACTCTACGTTCCTCTTGCCGTTGCCGCGAGAGCACGGCTATGAGTTCATAATGTGTCAATTCTACGGTTCCGAGGTGCACATGACGCCGCTCCTATGGTATCAGACGCACAAGGAGAACGCGCCCGAATGTTTAACCATGATACATTACACAGAGTTGAGAGACGATAAGGATGTCGTGTTGATGCGCGGGGAATTCGATACGAAATTGCTGAGCGCGCAAGAAGCCCAGTGTCTGGCCAATGAATTGCAACTATATTATTGTACCGATAATGAGCATAGATTGCAGTTGCTCGATATGTTCACTCATCAGCCGAACGAATTCAAACACATGGATCTGATAGCTCAATTAGAAACAATATCTCTAGAGCCGAGTACCGTCAACGATAACAAATGAAAGATGACGCCTGCACGCACTGCTTTGTTATACACAATGTATTATAACTATATGTACAGAACTAGTAAAAAATAAATGTATACATTTAAGACTAAGAGTCTCTGTATATATTATTTCTAGTAAAAAATAAATGAATAAACTTAAGACTAAAAGTCTACATGTCATTCCATGTGTATTCATAAAAAATTCTCATTAACTTTGTCGACTGGTGGCCATCGTAAATTTTGTCGCGCCGTAGAAATGTGGAGTCGTTTGTCGTTTCATAAAGAATACCTTCACGTCTGCTAAATTATGCTTTCAATGAACGTAATATCGAGGTGCAATGACCATGTCAGATCTTGATGCGTGTATTTTGTTTTCTGCAGAAATTAAAAAGATCGGTTGCTACTGTGATGATAATGAATACTGTTGATTTGGATTTCAGTTAAGCACGTAACGCCAAAGTATGAGCCCTCGAAATTCTCGATATTTCCGTTCCTGTTCAAAAATGTACGGCCACCATGGGATCAAACGATCAGGAGGCGATACGTCCAAGATCTGTCTCAGAACAAGTGCATTACTACGCCTATTTTTTACGTAAATGCTGGTATGCCATGCCCTTTTTTCCGAATTCAATTTCACCGTCTGTTCATTAATAGGAGATATACAAGCGACGTTTCTTTTACACATCAGGTCCTCATATCGGGCACTTGTACACTGCGGTTTTGGCTGACGCCGTAGCTCGATACAACACCATGTTGGGCCACAAAACATTCTTGACTACGGGCACCGACGAACACGGCAACAAGATCAAGGCCGCCGCGGCTGCAGCTGGTCTACCGAATCTCGAGTACTGTACAAAAGTCTCGCGGCAATTCAGGGAAATGTGCGATAAGTTCGAAGTGGATTACTCGCGTTTCATTAGAACCACAGAAAAGCAACACTGTGATGCGGTGCATCACTTTTGGGTTCTTAGAACTTTACCATTGACTATTCTGACCATCCGTCCGCGCCCGTGATGCGTTAATTCACGTCGAAAATTGCACATTTTCAGAAACGGTTAGAGGAGAGAGGATATATTTATCAAGGAAAATATTCGGGATGGTATTGCGTGTCGGACGAGGCGTTCCTGTCCGAGACGGAGTTGGTAGAGCAGAAAGATTCGTCCGGTAAAATGATCAAAGTCTCCGCGGAATCAGGAAATGCAGTAGAGTGGACGGAGGAGGAGAATTACAAGTTTCGGCTTAGCGCGTTTCAAGATGATCTCAAGTACTGGCTCAAAGATGGTACGACTAGCTTGGCGCGATTCTTTTCTTTTTCTCAATGACTGCAAATTGCAATTTCGAATCCTTTGTAGAGAATACAGTCAGACCAGCGTTGTATCACAAAATTTTGTCCGAGTGGGTGGAGGAAGGCACATGTTTGCAAGATTTAAGCGTTTCTAGGCTCAGAAACAAAGTGCCATGGGCGATGCCTTCTCCGTGCGACGAATCACACTCTATTTACGTATGGATGGATGCCTTGGTGAATTACTTAACGGTTTTAGGATATCCAAACGAGTCATTCAAAGAGTTCTGGCCGCCCGCTGTACAAGTACATTTTATAATTTTTAGCTGTTATCAAGTATTCTGCAAGCTATCCTGTAAAATGTTAAAGTTAAATTTTCTGTAAAAATAATACTAATTGCGTATAGGTGATCGGGAAAGATATACTAAAATTTCACGGTGTTTACTGGCCGGCATTCTTAATAGCAGCGGGTCTAGAGCCTCCGAAGACACTGCTGTGTCACGCTCATTGGACCATCGAACATCTGAAGATGTCGAAATCGAAAGGAAACGTAATATCGCCGTTTGAAGCTGCGAACGATTACTCGGAGGACGGATTGCGGTATTTCGTTCTGAGAGAGGCAGTGCCGCACAGCAACGCAAGTAAGACGAATTGTATTTTACTCGTACGCACAGTGTTTCTTAAAAAGCTCTTTGTACACGCTCTTGCATTCTAGATTACAGTTCAACGAAAATTACGAACATATTGAACTCCGAATTGGCGGACACACTAGGCAATCTAGTTAGTCGTTGCGCGGGTAAAACGATCAATCCGTCGAGGGAGTTCCCCGACCCGGCGAGATATTGGAACGTGTTGCAGTCTCAAGCAGCTAACGAAACCAGAAAGGCTTTAGAGTCTCTTGCCGAGGAAGCGCGCGAGAGCTACGAGAAATACAATTTGCATCATGTCGTCGACATGGTTATGAGCGCACTTCATTCCGCGAATAAAATGGTGCACCATCACGAACCCTGGAACCTGAGAAAACGGGTCGATGATGCAGATTCGGTGAGGGAACTCAAGGCTGTGATATCTCTCGCTTTGGAAAGCAGCCGGATAGCCGCTTTAATACTGTATCCAATCATACCGAGACTGAGCGGCGGTCTGCTCGATTTTCTGAATGTCCCGAAGGAAAGCCGCATGTGGTCGGACACCGCGCCCGAGTACTGCAACAACAGAAGCGTGAAAGAAAGATATATTGAATATAACAGTATAATGTTATTTAAAAGGATCAAAAGTCAATAAAAAAAAAAAATAAAAAAATACTCAGAGTCACTGCCTATCGCGAATTCGTTGATCGTAGAATCGGTCGCTTCACACGTCGTTCGTCTTCGACGCTCCGACGGAATGTGGGATAGGAGAAAAATCAGTAGAAAATCGCAGAGAGAGAAAGATCTAATACTTCTATATATCTCGAAGTCTTACTCTAATATATTTACAGAGAACGGTCATTCGAATATATCATTAGTATACATCAACATTGCGCACGAGTCGTGCCGGCGAGAGAGTTCCACGTTTGTTCTTCTTTCATTCGTTCTTTCGTCCGCTCACTCGTCCGTGCGTTTGTACGTTCGTTTGTTCGTTCGTTTGTTCGTTCGTTCGTTCGTTTGTTCGTTCGTTTGTTCGTTCGTTCGTTCGTTCGTTCGTTCGTTCGTTTGTTCGTTCGTTCGTTCGTTCGTTCGTCCGTTCGTTTGTCTGTTCATTCGTTCGTTCGATCGATCGATCGATCGATCGTTCTTACAGTCTACGCGAGACATGCATTATTTTTGCATTATATAACGCATTCGTGGTGCACGCAGCTATTCACATTCCCTCTGTGCGCCGGATCGCAGTGCGCTCTGTGTATCGTAGATATAGATGTATCAAGGAAGCTCGACGGATCCCCGCGAACGCCAATTGGCCCGTGACTACTTCCTTCCGCTTGGATATGTCGTGATGCAGAATTGAGTTTTAGATTCGACGGGTGGCTCGACGACAATGATGAATTATCTTTCGCGTCGATGTCCGTGCGCGGCCGCGAAGTCGAGATTCCCGCCGGTCTCCCGCGGATTACCGTCCGTTTGCGAGAGTTCCTGTCGCGTGCATCTCTTATCGCGCGCCCCGTCAAATAGAAAAATAATTAAATGGCTATTTACAAGATGGGAAAAATGAATTTTTCTGTATAACCGCGGCGCTTGTGCATCGCCGCGCTGACCTATTGCTATTAAAGTTTTTCCCCTTTTCTTTTTTTCTTTCATCTTACGTGACGCTTTGTGACAGACGTTACTAGCTTAGAAACGTATCATCTCGAGTAACATCCAGCTTTAACATCGTAGATCGGCTATCGACATTGCTCCATTAGTTACGATTGCTTGATTAGTATCCTAAGCGCTACAATCGGATTTTTTTTTCTATTAATCGACAAATCCCACTCTATGCCTGTCGTCGTATCGCTTAGAAAGAGAGAGAGAAAGAGAGGAAGAAAGTAGAAAAGAGAGGAAAAACGGAAAGAAAAGACACTACGATTTCGGCGGATTATGTCTTCTGGATATGCCTCGAAAGTTAGGTTCCGATGATTGTCTTTGACGGTGATTCCTCCTCGCGAAATGTCGCTCTCACATGATCGAACATCACGCAGTCTTCGCGATAAAAAAGAGAGAGAGAGAGACAGAAAGAGAAAAAGAAAGGAGACTCTCCATTCGATCGATCCATTCGTAAAAGCGTCGCGTCTGCCGTGATTATTTTTATCAGCTCGTCGCGTGATCACTTCAAGTCGTGAGGATCGCGGAGGCGGAGACGCTAAGTACCGAATTCTTTTTTTTTTCCTTTTGTTATCCTCGTGGAGTATTCGACTAAGTGTCCTCGTTTATTGCTGCCGCGCTGACGATATTGTTCCTCCAGAATCCGACCTCGTGGAGACACGAGCGGGCGTAGTTTCTCGTCTCCCTAAGAAAATTCTCACGCGGAACGAGACTGTCAGTGACAGCTAACTAGAACATCGATTGATATTACGTTGTAGTCGCGATGTGTAACTACCGCGCATCTTGCTTGGAGGAGAGATTCAATAACGCGCTTGAGTATTTTATCGGCGTCGTCAACTCTTACATATATGTACATATTACACACACGAGCGAGACAATGTCGTCGTAACTGCAGTCGCGGCGAGTCGTCCTTCGAGGCGGCCGGGATTCGGCGTTTATAGTCCTGCGTTGGATGCGAATACTAAAGTTCCCCACGCCGCAGGAGGGAACTCGTGCTGTTGCTGGTACAAGCGATGTTCTATGCAAATTTTATGTACATCGACGAAAGAGAGAGAGAGAGAGAGAGAGAGAGAGAGGGAGAGAGAGAAAGAGAGAGAGAGAGAGAGAAAGAGAGAGAGAGTGAGGGCAGAAAAGAAAGAAAGAAAAAGAGGGCAATCGCATAATGCAATTTTGTATGCAATCAGCCTTGTTGGAAATTGCGTGAAAGACGTCGTCGGTATTGCATCGTGACGATCGAAACATGTCGAACAGAATAAAATGTATGAATTCGTCTCGTTGAGACATAAATAACGGAATGTAATGAGTAAAATAATTATAAAGTCTCATCGGATTTGGACGACGGAGATGAAACTGCTTCGTAATCGACACGTTCCTCGCGACAAATCGTGAAGAATTAATGTGCGACGAAAATCCCTTCCTCTGGCGAGTTTGAGTTGCCGCTTCGTTACATTATCTACACTGAGAAAAGGAAGTGGCAGGATCAATGAGATCTTGCTTGGATGAACAAAATTCGTTTGAGCAAATGAATTAATTAATTTATACAGTTGCTGTGGTGAGTTGTTGATTGAATTCCTGCGATTAGGTTAGCAACTATATTAATGCAACGAAGGTGAGACCGGTTGATCATGTGTTTCATTTATGTATTTATTGTTTAGGAACTTGTACTGAAACAATGGAAAAGGAGTGGCAAGATGTTCCTTTTAAATACTTTTACTATATTCTAAAAAGAACACATTTCGCAATCCTCTTTCTGCTTCCCTTTTGTCTCCATAACAAATATTAGGTGGGTGCAAAAGATTCATCATATTTCTATTAAATCCCTGTAGGAAGTTTGAATATTAAAAGGAAAATAGGAAGATCCCATTAGATGTCTGAGAAACACCAACTCGACATTGTTCATTTTATTCGTAAAAATCATTAATTCTTCAAATTTGGGTAATTTTGTTGTCTATTTTTTGATAGAGATGGAAAATTTCTTATACCAATTTCTCAACCCAATACGTAAAAGAAGTACATGGTCAATTCGACTCGGTCTTCATTGTCGCGCCAATGTATGATTTACTCGGTGGACACGATATTTTGAATCAAACGAGAGTGATTGCCGATTTTGTCGACCCAACCGTTTCTTTTTCTCAGTGTAGACCTCGCGTCGTGTCGCGAGTCCCGCGCGATCGGCACGAGATCGAGGGGGAGCTTCTGCGGACGGGTAAAACGCGCGACCGCGACGACCGACCTAACGGCGGAGGCAAGAGCGGTCCGGCGAGTGAGATCCGGAGAGAAATCGTTTATTCGAGATCGAGGAGGGACGGTCTCGTTGAACTTGTTTATATGGCGCTGACTATGGTGTCGCGATGCCTTTGAGCCATGACGCCGACCTGGCAGCTGTCCGCACTCGACCTGGGACTGATGTTGCACTCAATCATCGAGCCGTTGCGCTTCTGTACCACCACCGAGCGGAACTCACCGCACTCACTGGTAGACGGCTGATTGCCCCGAGCGCGCGCTCCCTTCGTGAGGATCCTCTTGAACGCCTCTCGGAATTCAGTGTTGAAGATGCTGTAGATTATCGGGTTGAAGGCCGAGTTACTGTAGCCGAGCCATGTGAGAACCTGCTCAGCAAGAAGAGATGGCTCTCTTAGTGCTCCGATCACCGGAAAAGTTTCTGCGGGACGCTCAATGGACGAAGTGAGTTTGTTGAAATTTTCTCGGTCGAGACACGACCTCTGACTAGAGTTTCACTAACACCCTGATGTTCAATTACCCTTTAGACTTACAGTCTCTTACCATAAGAAAAAAAAGTAAGAGTCAGAGACGTGCCAATAAAGCGATCATTTCAAGAGAGACGTTTAAATTTGAAAAATAATTGAAACTAGTAATCTCGTTTTTGCTTAATTCCAAGTACCAACTCACAATCGAGTAAGAGTAGGAGAGGACAATTTCCTTGAGGTTTTCTTAATAAAGAGAAACGGTCTCTAATTTTTCGAAGAGAGTGCAGACAAAAGAACAAACTCATATTCGGCGAGAGGAGCTGAACGTACGTACCTGGAACGCTCGGAGAGGTATGCAGGTCTTGCAGTAGGCTGCGACAATGTTGACGCAGAAGAAGGGTACCCAGCATATCAGGAATACACCCATGATTACGCCGACAGTGATCGCGGCCTTGTGGTCGGACACGTGATAAGGGCTGGTCGGCTTCGTCTTCGTCTGCGGCTTCGGCGGCTTACAGCGACTGCTCTTCGAGCGAAAACTCTTGGCCATGGAGGTGTCCGGCAGCTTCGTCACCGCCCGGATACTCCTTACGTGTTTCTGTGCGTAGCAATAGAGCCTGGAAGAGAGAAGACGACGAAAGGAGCAACACTCCTCGACGAGACGACACATCTCTGTCCCTTCCTAGCTTCCTTCTCACATTTCGTTTTTATCGAGCGCTTAGAACGTTTACAGAGCGATTCATGACGATATTACAGATCAAAAATGGAGAACGCTTGTGGGAAAGTTATTTTGTCAGCGTCTCTGACGTGTTGTCTCGGCTAAACTAAATTTTTACGTACACTGAGGGAAAAATTACCTTAAAATCAACAAATATTTCTTTGATGGATGCCAGTAACATATTTACTTAAATCTAAATTCTCTTTATTTAAATCAAATATTGTCAAATATTTATCTGATTTAAGTAAACAATATTTGGCTTAAATAAAGAGAATTTAGATTTAAATAAATATGTTAATGGCATCCATCAAAGAAATATTTATCGATTTTAAGGTAATTTTTCCCTCAGTGTAAAGCGTTATTGTACGCGCGCGTACTTTTTTTGTTTGAATCTTCCGTCGTGAATCTCTGAACATTCTTCCCGAGATCAGTACGTTGGTTTGGAAGCTCGCTCTTCGCGACACTGACTAATGTTTCGCAGAATGATGTGCGAGCCGCGCGACTCGTGAAGATCGCAATAGAACGATATTACGCGAGTGCGGAAATAAAGCGTCAAATTAATGGCCCTCCCCTGGCTCAGCTGCGAGTGATGTGCACGCGCGTGCGGTCTTACCTGCAATAAATCCCCAACATCACGATGCAGGGCACGTAGAAAGATATGCAAGAGGACACCACCGCGTAAGTGGGTGTAATGTCTAGGGCACACGTAGGGTGCTCCTGTAAGGGTAAAAGACGTGTTAACGCGCGCGCGACGCGAAGATTGCGTAAATTGTTGCGAACGTGAATGGCACGGCGGGGTAAAATGAGAAATGTCATCTATTTTCAATCCCTCCGCTATTCAGAAGCGCAATCTACGACAATTCATACGTCCTCGCTACAAAAGCACGGCGCGTCAGTGAATTTCATTCTCACCGTTACGACACGGCTCAGCTGATCGATACTTGTAACAGCAAATTTTTTTTATCTTACGCCTCGAATATCGAAGCGAATGGGAGAATCTCGAATATACTGGCTGCGGGAAAGATCGTCCGATAATTTTGAAGCAGATAGCTCACTCCAGGATATTAAATAGAGGGCATGATATTAGTTCACTTGTTTGTGTCTATACTAATATAAAACGATAGGAAAGAATTCTCTCTGCTGAGGACATACCTCTACTCCGTCATTATAGAGTTCTGGTTGATCACCTGCCCTATGAAGATCTAGGCTGATCGGTACGAAGGATATGAGTCCTGCCAAGAGCCACACGACGGCGATGCCGCCGATAGCGACTCTTCTAGTCACCCAACGGCCGTATCTGAAACAACAAGGCCGAAAAGAACGAAAGTTAAAAAAAGACTCGAAGTCAAAAAGAAAGAAAAAAAAAAAAGAAACGTTTCATCCCTAAGAAGGTCGTCACCGACTGAAACTTTCTTTGAGAACAAGAAAGTTTGAACTTTGAGAGCCGAAGATAAACCAAAATCAAATTACTCGACTCGTTTGTACATTTGCGAGTTCCAAAAAGAACTTCTTTTTTGCAATTTCTTTTTGTTTAAACTCGCCTGCAACTTTCCTCGTTGCTTTCATCGCGAATCGAACCCAGCAAACATGACGTCAAATGGCGAATTAATGATATATTATTGACGTTAGAGACGTCATTAATGTGTCATTTAACGTCATTCTGCTACTTAGAAAGTTATTCTCTTAAAGTGAATCAACGTTTAAATTGACTAAGGTAAAAAATGTTCCTAATTAAATCAGTAAAAGAAATATTTTATCGATAATCAGTGAGTATGATCACTGATTTCCAATAGAAACACTACCACTTGACTTCTTTCGTATATCTCACTGATCTTGATCAGTGGAAATAAGATTTTACTGCAAAATCTGTAGTACACAAATTTGTCAAAAATTCGCTGTACGAAATCCAATGTCCTGCATTCGTGGTGGTGGAATTAACGACTTCCATGCGATCTGCGTGCGACGGCACAGTCTGCGTTTGCAAACTGCATCAATAATGACAACAGTCGCTACTAACTTATCCCTTCAGCGGGATTGCAATGAATCATCAAATTATAGTATTTCAGTGAAGGATACTTCATCGCCAAAGAGTACTTTAAAGAGCACGTCACGGACCGACCGCGGCCATCGAGGCCTCACCTGAGGGGATCCTTGATGTGAATATAACGGTCGAGGGAGATGGCGCATAGATTGAGAATAGAGGCAGTGCTGCACATAACATCGAAGGCGATCCAGATGTCGCAGAACCATAACCCGAAGATCCAATAGCCGAGGAGGTCGTTGACCCCGGCGAAGGTCATCACCAGTCCACCGACGAAGAGATCGGCGACGGCGAGCGAGGCCAGGAAGAGATTTCCGATCCTCCGTAGCCCGCGGTCGGTGTAGATCGCCACGCAGACCAGAACGTTGCCAGCGACCGAGAAGAATATCAGGATCACGAGGAGGAATCCTGCAGCACCGAGAGCAGAGAGGGCTCGTCTAGCGATCAATCGATCACACTATTCAACTGTACAACGCGTTCGCCCCTCGAAGCACGCGTGCCCCAGAAAATCCGCGCGCGTCTCGCTCCTGCATACACGACGAATGACACCATCGATCCCGCACGATTTGTTCACGGCGAATCGACTACGGAGATGTTAGTATCACTCACGCCGAGACGTGGTACCATCGGCGGTGTCTCTCCGAGCGCTGTCGCTTCGTAATAGGTGTATTCTCCGAGGAATTTTGGAAATTACAGTGCATTCCTAAAATTCCCGCGCGCACGTCGATATTCTCTTTCTCTCTTTCTTTCTCTCTCTCTCTCTCTCTCTCTCTCTCTCTCTCTCTCTCTCTCTCTCTGTCTTCCTGCACTGGGGAAGTATCAGCAAGCTCGTGCTTCGTTTTAATGATACAGTTTTTAGAGAGTTTCGTGTAGATTGCACCTTGGAGAAAAGGTATCGAGGGCGGCCATAGTTACTTGCTTGAGCTTTTTGTGCCCAACGTTATGTTATGTATATGTTATGTATTTCCTTTTTGGTTTCCCGCTTCTCTTCTTCCTCTGATTACATGTCGTGAACGCTGATAAGATAAAGTAGTTTCTTGAATGTGAACGAAACGAACGTAGGACCAATAAATCTATTCCGGTTCACCTGCATATCCCCTTTAAAGAGCTAAAAATTCAGGAAAGTATATAATTTGCTACGCGAACCTTTATTCTCTCGATAACGTGAGCTCGTCTCACACACATATATATCGTCTCACACACACAATCCAGCGAAATTCACAGGGCGTCTCTATCTATCAGAATTTCAGAAAGATATTCATAATCCTTTATACGCGAGAAATCTCGTCTCTCCTTTCATTCAAAACCCTTTTCTCTCCGAGAGAATCTTAATTTCAATTGGAGGGGTTTATCTAAATTTTAACACGCAACAGATTAACAATTAACCATGACATTCAGTCGTCTTTCATCGTTCTCCATTCTCCGTCTTATTTGTTCTAATAGCAAAATTTTCAAAAGATATCGTTGCCGGACTCTTCGTTGGAACTTGAAGAGTTTCTTTCCGCATAGTCGTAATCTATCCGCGTTTCTGGTAACTCTATATCACGATATTAGCACCGTTCGAGAGCGCTCGATATCGATATTGCGCGAAAAACGCGCCAAAGAGAGCCAGAGGCCAAAAAGCATTTGAACGAAAATTGGCAAACCGTGACAGCGACGAGCATCGGCGAAGCAGAAATTATGACACTCGCCCTCGGGACTCGCGTCCAATCATAATTTATTCGATTCTATCGGCGATATCGGATGGTCAGAGAGTAAAAAGGAAGGAAGGGTTCTCTCAGGTGAGGGTGAGGCCGGGCGGGAAATAAGGGCAGGCAGGGGGGTGTCGGGAAAGATGGATGTGGAGGAGAAAGAGAGAGAGAGAGAGAGGCAGGCTGCCACGGGTATGATTGGACGAGCTCGGATCGGAGTTTCCGAGAGAAGGCACTCTCGGGAGGCTGTCTTCGAGGGGCGACTTCGCGATCGATCAAATGGAAAGTTTAGCGAACCAACTAGGAGCACCGACAGCAGCGAGAAAGCGTCTTCAGGCAGATCTTCTTCCCCGTCTGTCAAGTTATTCTGTAGAAAGACAAAGAGAGAGACTTACGTGAATGCGAGTACGGCGCGGCAATGATTTATACGGGGTGAGGCGACACAAAGCCAAGCGGGGATTGCAGAGCAGAGTGTCTACCGGGAAGGAGGGTGTCGCGGAAATGATTATTTCGGTTGCGTGACGTTTCCGCGACAAACATATGTGTGTTTGCTCGTCGCGGAAAAATTCGGGAGAAAATGCAGATAATACAGAAGAAACATTCATCAGACAAAAAGGAAGAAAAAGAGGGCAACATCTAAAAAACACCATAAAAGACATCTAAAAAAATGTCTTGATCTTTCTGGACGTCTATTCGACGTCCTCTGGATTCTCGTGGTTAAGATTCTCTTGGTCTGTTGCTGTCAAACTCTTGATTAATGACGTCAGAAGCAAGGAAATGCATATTCAAGATTCTTGCAAAATGCGTCGATATGAATCTAAAATATATCTGAAATATTCAGATTCATATATATGAATCTGAAAAACTAGCAATCGATTAAGCACGCGTCCAAAATACTCCGAAAACATTTTCCTTTCGCTCTAACAATAAATAAATAACCGACAAATTAACGTGACATATATAATATATTTTTCATTATTTTGTCACGTTAATTTTGCGATTATTTATTGATTGCCGCAGCAAAAGGTAAGTGTTTGGAGTATTTCAGAAGCAATCGATTTGCCGTTTTATTTCAACACAATTCTGCAGGTATTTTGGGCATGTATTTCCTCGCTTCTGACGTCACAAATCAAGATAGCCGCAGCGAAGGGTTAGGAGCCTTAATTGAGGGAAATAACACAGTGAATACCTTCGTGCACGTGTATTTGATCCGTACAGACTCATAATAAAATGCGGACACGTGTACACGGTTTACAGCCGTGGTTATTCTCCATATAAAAACAATCGCGACTTTTAGGCCTGTATTAATAGTCACTGCTTGAAACTCGTCTCAAGTGAGATACTCAGGTTTAAATTCAGAGTTTTTTGACTGAATCGCGATTACAAATATAAGTGTCACATTTATTATAATTCAATTGAAAGAACTTGGACCTGACTCGGAATAAAAGTTTGAACTATGAATATCTCACTTGAGACGGACTTTCAAATGACGACTATTAATACGGTATTCTCCGTCCCACTCAGTCCTCGTGAGAGCAGAGCGCGTCGCGGTCGGCGAAGCGATTTTTCATCGCAGGACGCGGCTATCTTCGCGTACGTACGGGCTATCTCTTTGCAATAAAGCTGCTTTAGCTCTGCTTTTTACGGCGGTAAGCAGGCGGCTCTACGATAATGATCTGTGCCGTGTATACACCTGGTGTATACACGCCGTGTATATATACGTGTAATTACGCCTGCTACCATTTTATCGCGGGATTTATCCGGCGCTGCCGGTCGAGTCGGTATCTCGTTGATAAAGCCGAAGTATTACCTATTACCCGTCCTGGCGATGATTCGACGGTGCGATACGATCGCAAACGTGTACATTCTAATAGCGTCAATTCCGGATACTCGGATATCTTAGGTGCTATTCGAGTACACCTGAGTCTCTCGGGTGTGTCGCCCTCCGGTATCTTTCATAGAATTTTTCAAATTGCCCCTCCTCATCCGGTCCCTCCTTGGGTGTACAGTCGTTTATTCTTGTTATCATTTCTTCTTATTCAGACACTGAGAAAAAATTTACTAAATTTCAAAAAACGTTAGTTTGGATAGTACTGTGATATTTGTTTAAATTAAGTAATTATTTTCTAAAATTAAATAAAGAAGTTTTAAATATCAATTTGTTTCTTTAATTTTAGAAAATAATTACTTAATTTAAACAAATATCTTCGCAATACTATCTAAACAAACGTTTTTTGAAATTTAATAAATTTTTTTCTCAGTAGATCAAGTTCCACAACATCCGTTTAATTTTAACTACAGGTTAAGTTCCAATAGTGATTGGTTAATTCTGATTAACTCTTCTTAGGACCGATTGTTCTAACTTTTTAGTAAGCTACCTGACAATTAAATTATATGCCTGTCTCTGTCCAATTAAAAAAAAAACAAATATATATACATATTTAACTGTCAGGTAACTTACGAAGAGGTTGGAACAATCAGCCCTTAATGTCAAATGCGATTGGTCAAGTCCAATGGAATAACCAGCTAGTTAAGTTAATTAGGAGGTTGTGGAACTCGGCCTTATTCCTCAAGTCATCTAATACGTAGACTGCAAGAAATTTTGTATTGAATTTAACACATTTCACATATATCCACTCAATTTATCAACTTTAATTTCTGTGTTAATTTAACACAAGACGAATCTGCAAACAAACGACGCAACACACTTATTTGTACATATAAAATACGCCACCAAGAATTTGTATATTTACGTATAAATTGTGTTATCTTAACGCTCAAAATAATACCGCGACAATATATTAAATTAACATACGCGTATGTTCAAAAATTTAGTACATGAATTCCTATACGGATCGATTTCGACACGAATACAAGATATTTTTTATCGTGTGTACAAGTGTCAAGTATCAAGATAAAATCAGCGCAACGAATTTTTATTAAGAAAGTAGATGTTTCACGAAATATTTAATTTTTACGCCAGAGAATATGTCAAAGTAAAGTATGAAACATCTGGCAAACCGATAAAATTAATAAGCAGAATATATGGATGTGAAAAGAAGAACATACTCCAAAGAATTGCTCAAATCTGATTAATAGACTTAAAAGAATATTTTTCTATTCTGAGTAGCAATGAGTTTAAATTCCTAAGATATGTACCCCCGAATCGAGATTTCTTACTTTCAGCCTTACTATTCCATTCAACACCTATTTTGACGCTAAAGAAAGGGAAAGCAAATTTCCCGCTCAAATTTTGCTTCGACATCATCGAAGTCAAAATAAGAATAAATTGTATCATTAGAATTAAACCTACTTTAGCTAATTTAGCTCCTATTGCCTTACAGAATTCAAGGTTTAATATAGGGCCAAAATTTCGACTTGGATAGACATACTCAAGCTATACTGATTATTAAAATATTCGTAAACGCGACAACTACTCCCACGACGACGACGACAACGAAAGTCTATTAATTCGACCGTGTGTACGAGTATCCACTCGTGCGTGCGTGCGTGCGCGTGTGTGCGCGCCGTAATCGATATTTATGCAGATTTCGTGGTTAAATGCATAATGCATGAGTCGAAAACAAATAAATTGCTATCGCGTGTTTGCGATATTTCGTTGTGCTTTACGAGCGGGGGGCAGCGCGAAGAACGTTCGCGAATCAATCATTACGTGCTCGCGCGATCACGATCATGATTCACGCGACTCTCCACGCACCTTGGCACATTGAGACTTCGCCAATGCGAAACTTTCGCGAGAGAGGAGAACGAACAACTCGATTTTGTCGACTCGCGGGATTTGTGATGCATCGCGCATGGCGCAGTTACTTTATACTCTCTATACTCGCGGTTTATATTATAATATTGTGCCAAGCCACAGCCCTTTTTATTGCATTACAACTCGAGGTACGCTTTATTCGAAATTTCGCTCGCATAACTTTGCATAAATAATAACGTCCATGGAAATTACGCGAAAGGCGCGCTCGCGAAGTTGAAGCAAGCGCAACCCGTGATAAGCATATTCGTTTTCTTCCCGCTCTCTTTTCGCCTTTTTCTCTTTATGCACTTTATTTCATCGTGTTCAAAACTTCGATTCGCAGTTCCAAAGTGGAACCGTTGCTGCTACCGAAAAGTCGAGACTGAAGTCGGTACTCACAATCGCATTTTTCGCCCAATCATGCTGGATTTTCCACTAATTGCTCCCGATCGCCGTTATCGTCTTTTTTTAATTTTTTACTTCCAAAGAGACTCGGGTTGGAGTCATTGATATTATATTTCTTTTTCTGTCAATTATTACGAGCGTCACACACATACAAGGACAGTGGACACATACAAGGTCTCCATTATTCTTGTAACAAGAGAGAATGTGGAAAACGAACGTGTAAAGCGACCTCGCACATCCCCGATGCAGTTAAACTGTTAAAAGTAAAAATGTGTTTTTACTCATATATATGTATTGCGTTTTTACTCACACACACACACACACACATACAATCGTATTCATGTGCGAAATTGTTTTTTCTATAGCTTTTCTTTTCTTTAATTGTTATTCTATGTTTCTTCATATATATTTCAATTGGACGGACGTGCGCTGATTAAGTGAAAAAAATGAAACATTTTGCAACATAATAAAAGCACTTTCAACTACGACGAAATATATATCGCTCGCGTAAATAAATGTCTCGTAAACGATACACATCTCCGCGTATACATAGATGGATCTATACTCTGTATAAAATTTAATTTAACCCATTCTATCAATTGATTAATTATTTGATTGATTGATTGGCCGCGTTTATTTTCACTGTAGGGCTGTGTCCCACTAAGAGCGTTATAATATGAGTACGCGATACAGAAAAAAACGAAAAATAAATGAAAAAATTAACAAAGGGAAACAGTCTGAAGATATTCTATAGACGTGTAAAATGAAAAAAAAACAGCGATAGAAGGTGAATTTCCGACAGAATATGAATGTCTCACTCCATTTTTTCGAGGTAACACACGATGTGTAGGCGGATCACGCCCTCTTAATATATATCTTTATGCAATCTTGCGCATTAAGCATTTTAATGGCAAACGCTTCTATCCTGTAAGCGCGTACATTGCCCGCCGACGTAATGTACAGTAACGGCGTGTGTGAATAGACCGGGGTAAGATGGAACGCATTAACGTTGCAAACTTGCGCGCACGCCTCGGGAAAATGTAATATTACCACTACACACGGGAGAGTACACGAGAGCAATTGATCTCCAGCAGACCGTTACCGCGGAACTCATATTATGCAAACGCGACTCGCTAACGTACACTTGCTCTCTAAATTTCGTGGGGTGGGATCTCACTCAAAATGAGTGAAAAGTGGTGGTATTA